TTTTTTTTTTTTTTTTTTAATCTCGCTTCTGCCAGAGCCCTCGACATCCGGGGCTGCACTGAAAAGCGGGAAGCAAGCACAGAAACTCAAGAAAAATGGGTGCAAGGGGCAAAATTCCTGCTCTTCCCAGGGCTGGATGGGTGAGAGCCTGGCCCAGGTTGCCCCGAGAAGCTGTGGCTGCCCCATCCCTGGAGGGGTTCAAGGGCAGGTTGGAGGAGGCTTGGGGCAACCCGGTCTCATTGAAGATGACCCTTCCACTAGAAGGGATGGAACTGGAGGAGCTTGAAGGTCCCTTCCAACCCCAAACGTTCTGTGATGCTCTGGCGATTCCACCACTTTCCTGGGTTGGAGGGGGCCTCCAAGTTCATCAAGACCAACCATCAACCCACCACTGCCCAACCCACCACAGCACTGGCTTTTCAATCCCTCCAGGGATGATGTTTTAGGAGTGGAGCCATAGGACGAGTGGGAAGAGTTTTAAACCAAAACTGAGGAGACTGAGCTGAGAGGTGGGGCAGAACCTCTTTGGTGTGAGGGTGGTGAGAGCCTGGCCCAGGTTGCCCCGAGAAGCTGTGGCTGCCCCATCCCTGGAGGGGTTCAAGGGCAGGTTGGAGGGGGCTTGGAGCAACCTGGGCTGGAGAGAGGTGGCCCTGCCCAGGACAGGGGGGACTAAATGGTCTTTAAGGTCCTTTCCCACCCAAACCATTCATTGGGTCTATGACAAGAGGGTGTGCAACCGTCCCTGCTCTGGGCAGGGCAGAGGATATTGCGAAAGCATCTGCAACGTGTGGCCAGTGAATTGAGTGTGGACAGACAGAAAACCAGCCTGGGGAGGTTGGAAAGAGAAGGGGAGCCCCGAGATGGGGATGGGGTTGGGTCTATGACAAGAGGGTGTGCAACCGTCCCTGCTCTGGGCAGGGCAGAGGATATTGCGAAAGCATCTGCAACGTGTGGCCAGTGAATTGAGTGTGGACAGACAGAAAACCAGCCTGGGGAGGTTGGAAAGAGAAGGGGAGCCCCGAGATGGGGATGGGGAACCAGGCTGAGCTTGTCCCCGGGGAGCAGGAGGGAGTGTGCTGGGAGCTGCGGGTGTGGGACGTGGGTGGGCTCTCCCTCGCTCACCCCTCTCTGCTTTAGGATCCCCCAAGTGCCAGGAAAAAGCCGTGGCTGCTGGTGGAGAGCTGCGGCTGGTGCTGGAGAAACCCCTACAGGGATGGGTGAAGGTCGAATGGAGAGTGAGACTGGCTATGGGAGAACAGCATCGGATCCTGACAGCTGATGGGAGTAAATCTTCCCAACCATCAAATAGCCCTTTTCTTGGGAGAGCCTTTTTCCATCCGGAGAATCTCTCCCTGTTGATCCCCCGGGTTACCACGGCAGACAGTGGGCTCTACAGGGCAGAGTTTGAGCACACAAACGGCAATGTTACATCCCAGTCCTTCTGCGTGTCGGTGTGGGGTGAGTAGCCGGGTCCTCATCACCCCCTGTCCCCCTCTTGGTCCCCCCTGTCCCTTCTCACCCTCTCTGTTGGGCAGAGTTTGAGGGCACAAACGGCACTGTTACATCCCAGTCCTTCTGTGTGTCGGTGTGGGGTGAGTAGCCGGGTCCTCATCACCCCCTGTCCCCCTCTTGGTCCCCCCTGTCCCTTCTCACCCTCTCTGTCCCCGCAGAGCCCGTTGCCCAGCCGCTCCTGAACACATGCATCCTGCACCGGGAGCAGGACCGCTGCAACCTCTCCCTGCTCTGCACCGTGCCCGGGGCCACCAACGTCTCCTACAGCTGGTCCTGCACCGGGGGACACCCCGGAGCCCTGGGCCACCAGCCCCAGCTGGACCTACAGCTCCTTGGGGACTCTGCCCCCATGGTCTGCTTGTGCAACGCCACCAACCCATTGAGCTGGAGCACGGCCACCATCGATGTCACAGCCGTCTGTTTCTCTACGGGCCCAGGTTTGTGTGAAAAATGGGGGGATTTAGTGGGGTTTTCTCCCCCTCCATCTCTAAAATGAGCTTTGGGACTTAAATCCATAAGTGAGCAATGTAGCCGTGGGCCACCAGCTCCAGCTGGACCTACAGCTCCTTGGGGACTCTGACTCCATGGTCTGCTTGTGCAATGCTACCAATCCATTGAGCTGGAGCACAGCCACCATCGATGTCACAGCTGTCTGCCACCCTGCCCCAGGTAATTTGCCCTCAGTTCCCTAAAAGCAGGATTTAGGGGGTGCACAAGCCCCACCACTTCCAGTCCCCTCTGTCAGGGTGCTTCCTGGGCCAGTGGAATTGTAGAGGATGTCACCGTGAAGCCAAAATGTGCCCAGGTTGCCCCTGTGGTGCAGGGAAGTGTGAGAGCTGAGGAGGGTGGTGTCACTTGGTTTGTGATGGAGACCTGGTCAGCGATGGCTCCAGGCTCTGCCTGGTGTCGAAGGCCTCCCCTCTCCCTCCCCAGGGCTCCCCAGCTGGGCGGTGGCTGTCATCCTGCTGCTGGCACTGGCCATCTCCGTAGCCATTGCTGCCATCTGCTACCGGCAGAAGAAGCGAAGGAAGGACCCCCCATCAGGTTTGTCCCCAGGGCTGGGGTGGTAGCTCATGGGATGGGCAGCCATGGGGGTCTGGCCGTGCATCCTTGCCCCTCTCTTCACTGCTGTCACCCTCCTGGTGCTCTCTGTGCTGGCCCTGGGCTTCCCCTCCTCCTGGGGATGATGCAGGATAAGCCATGGGCACTGTCAACCCCCTGCCAGGTGCCACAGAGGGCACCAAATCTTTGCCCATCCCTGCTGACAGAGGGTGGTCCAGGTTGACTTGCTGGATGGAGCACCCCAACAGCCTGAGTGTTGGTGCCCAAACCTGGAGTCCCTGTCCCATGGGGTCTAGAGGACAGTTTGGGTTTGGATATTGATTTTCTGTGGATCTGGAGCTTCCCTCCTCACCCCCTGCCAGATGCCAATGAAGTCAAACCTGCCAGTGGCCAAGGGGACCTCTTTCTCCCTCTGCTTTGCTTTGCTTGAAGGCTGGAACCCCAAAATCTGGGAGCTCTAATGCACCAGCCCTCTTACACTGACCCTTCAAAATCCCCCAGGACAGGGTGAGCAGATACTAACCGTCTACGAGGAGGTGGGCAAAACCCGAACTGGCCAAGCCCCTGTGAGTACTGGGGGTGTCCCTGGGTGTCCCCTCCCTGCACTGCTTGAAGGGAGGGGTCTTCTGGAAAAGTCTGGGTTGCATCTTTTAACCGGCCTGGGGTTATTTCCAGCCCCAGAACAGGACCAGTCAGGCCACTGTAGAAGGAAACACCATCTACGCCGTTGTCACCAAAACACAGGTAGGGTCAGTCCTGTGCTGGTGTGGGAGGGGGGACCTGAAGCTTGAACCCCATGGGCTTGGCTGTGCAGCCCCTGGGCTGGATGCATCCATGGCAGCTTCCAAGACCACCCCTTTTGCCCCAAATTTGGGTGGTTTATTTGCACATTCCAACATCAGAAGGACACGGAGCTGTTGGAGTGGGGCCAGAGGAGGCCCCAGAGATGCTGGGAGGGCTGGAGCTCCTCTGCTGGGAGGGGGGGCTGAGAGAGTTGGGGGGTTCAGCCTGGAGAAGAGAAGGCTCCGGGGAGACCTTGGAGCCCCTTCCAGTCCCTCAAAGGGCTCCAGGAAAGTTTGGGGGGGGAACTCTTGGTGAGGGAAGGGAGCAATGGGATGAGGGGAAAGGGTTTGAAGCTGAAAAAGGAGAGATTTAGGTTAGATTTTGGGAATAAATTTATTTTGAGGGTGGTGAGAGCCTGGCCCAGGTTGCCCCGAGAAGCTGTGGCTGCCCCATCCCTGGAGGGGTTCAAGGGCAGGTTGGAGGGGGCTTGGAGCAACCTGGTCTGGTGGGAGGTGGCCCTGCCCAGGGCTGGGGGGGAACCAGGTGGGCTTCAATGTCCTTCCAACTCTAAACCATTCCATGATTCAATGATTTTTTTTTTCCCTGGCAGGGACCCAGCCACCGTCAGGAGCCCGAAACCTGCACCGTCTACTCCATGATTCAGCCCAGCAAGAGGGTGAGGTTGCCCCACTGTGACCCTGGCCTTTCTGCAGTGGCCACAGAAACTCGTGTCCCCTCCTTTTATCACCCAGATGCTGGGTTCACCGTCCCAGTCCCACATTGCCTAATGGCAGGTTCTCCCTCTGCTCCACAGCCTCCTTCTCTCAAGAGGAAGAGGCTGGACCGAGCCTTGGTTTCCACCGCCTACGTAGAGGTAACAAGCACCGGACCAGCGCGGAGATGAGCCCTGGTTGTCTCCAAAGCTCACCAGCTTTTTGGGGTGCTCAACCTCACCCATTCCCTTGCAGGCTACGGGGGGTTCTCGGCACTGGTGCCCCCCGTTGCAGACCTCAGCCCCAGGTCCTGCTGGCCACCACCTCTCCTAGTGCCCTGGCCAACTCAGCGAGACCTTCCCTTCCCTATGGGCCTATCCTGGTTTTGGATGAGATGGAGTTAATTCTTCTTTAGTGGCTGCTGTGGTTTGGATTTGGTCTGAAAGGAAATGTCACTCATGGATATTGTTTTAGCTGTTGCCAGGTGGTGTTTATATTAGTCCAAGGACTTTTTTTCAGCTTCCCATAGAAGCTGGGAAGGAGCATAGACAAGGACAGGTTGGCCAAGGAGATGTTCCACCCCAGAGGTGTCAGGGTCTAAATGAGGGTTGGCCAGGGGACAGGGACCTGCGATCGCTGCTTGGGATGGGCTGGGCAACCAGTCTCTGGGTGAGAGGGACTTGTGTTGCATTACTTCATTTTGGATATTCTTTTACCATCATTAGTATTATTAATGTTATTTTCCTTCTCTGTTATTGTTCTATTAAAGTATTATTTCAACCCATGAGTTTGGTGGGTGTGTTTTTTTCCTTTCTCCTCCTTTTCTCCCTGCCCTTCTGGTGTGGTCCCAGTTTCCAGCTGGGGTTAAACCACGATGGAGCCTCTTCTCCTGGAGCCCCCAGGGACCTCCAGCACCCACCAGAACCCCACCTGGCAAAGCCGGGGGCTCGCTCGGGATGGAAAAGGTCAGATATGGATTTCTGCAAGGATGCAAACCCCGATTGCCCCCTGGAAGTTTCCCTGTGAGGGAAGGAGGAAAGATTCAGTGATGGAAACCCACTTTTGGAGGAAACAGATGGTAAATTGCACATGGATCATGGGAGAAGAAGGGGACACGTGTGATGTGATTGTGTTTAGTGCCAGCGTGTGTTCTCATGTTTTGTTTTTTTTTAAGGTCTTGACAGGTTCAATACAGCTCGGGAATTTATTTTTAGGTGTGATATAAGCTGAATTGTATGAGACAATTGTGGTGCTTGTTTAATTAGCTTAATTGGCTGTTTTACAGCTTGAAAAGTACCTTGGGCAGAGGGGGGAAGTGGGAATTGCCTTGTTTGTGGCTCGGGAACCTCTGAAGCAAAGGGGGTCTCATGCGGAGAAGCACTTTGCAAAGTTTTGGCCACGTGTGTTGGGTAGGAGAGAGGTGGCCACAGGCATTGGCTTCGGGCAGGATGGTCCCAAAAGCGACGCTGAGACCGGAGACGCCACCAACTCCCTTCCCACGAGTGGCCCTGGGAGAAGGAGGTGGAGGAAGAGAGGCTCCGGCTTCAAAGATCTTCCCCCAAGGCAAGATCAAGGGCTTTTCTTGGAGATGAAAATGAAAGGTGGCACTTTGATGGCGGCGTGGGGAGCGGCAGCGGCTCTGCGAGGCGCCCCCCTCCCTCTCCTGCCCCAGTCCCTGGATCAAAATAGCTTTGTGGCTGCTCCCTGGGAGACGAGCGTTAATTGGGATCATTAGCCGGGAGCTGTGCTGGGAGGCTGGCAGGGGGAGGGAGGGGGTGTCTGGCTGCCGGGAGGAGGGAATTTAGGGGGCTGGGCTGGTGAGGATGGGGGGTGCTCAGGCACAATGTGCTGTCACTGTTGTCTGAGACAGGACAACGTAAACCAGTCTGAGCCCCATCCTTGGCTTTTCACAAAGTGTGGGTGTGAGTAGAGCACTTCTTACACCGTAACAGCGTTCCCCTCCACACGAGGCAGTTGACGCTGGTCATGGAATAGAATCATTTTGGTTGGAAAAGGCCTTTAAGATTGTCAAATCCAACGATCAACCCAACACTGACCCATGGCCCTCAGCACCACGTCTGCCTGGCTTTTAAATTCCTCCAGGGATGGTGACTCCACCACTGCCCCAGGCAGCCTCTTCCCATGTCCGACAACCTTTTGGGTGAAGAAATTTTTCCCAATATCCATCCTAAACCTCCCCGGGCGCAACTTGAGTCCATTTCTTCTTGTCCCATCACCTGTTCCTTGGGAGAAGAGACTGACTCCCCCTGGCTACACTCTCCTTTAGGGAGATCATCCTTTAGGGATGATGGAGCTCACGGCCTGTGGCTGGCTGAATTCAGTGGGAGAAGTTCAGGTGGGATGGAGGGGATGGGAATCCCTCAGTGAAGGTGCTGGGGAGGGGGTGACACAGTCCTTGCTGAGCTGTGGCTGTTGCTGGGAAGTGGGGGCTAAAGCAAGAGCTGCATCTCAGCCCCTTTTCATCCCAAAACACTGGGTCCTGAGGAGCAGAAGCGTCTGAAGGCGACACGGTGGAGCCTGAGGGCTGCCACATCCATCAGCACATCGTCTCTCTCCTGCCCAAGCCACGCTCCAATCACGGCGCTGTGATTTATGCTAATGACCTGCTTTTTGCATATCAGAGATAATTTGCAGCGTCAGGTCAGGTCGTTGGCTGGCTGCGAGTGCTGAGCCAGCACTTTGCTCCCCGACGGGGAAGTTTGGCTTTCCCATCTCCGACGGTTCTCACCAGCGCCGTGTCCCGGGGCGCGGGGACCAGTCGTGGTGCCACCGGATGGGTGCCAGGGATCCCACCACGGCGTGCTCCTCTGAAAACCGCCCGGTGCTGGAATGGGATCTCCTCCGCGATGGACCAGGGGGGGCGGCTCAGGGATGGAATTAAAGTGGGTCAGGGCTCAGCGGGTGCCACCATCACCCTTTGTTCATGGCCAAGGTCGGCCCCAGCGCTCCCCGCTCACACGTGGGAAGACGCCGGCGGCCGTTTGCCCCCGACGCAGGGTCTGCCCCCCTCAGCATCCAGAACAAAAGCCCTGAAATGTGGTCTTTCAGGAAGGAATCCAGGCCGTGGGTTCAAACAAATCTTTTCATTGGAAGCATCTGCCCCTCCCGGCTGGAGGCCAAGCACGATGGGGCTGCAGCACGTGCTCTTCCATCGGAGTCGTCCCTACCATCTCCTTCCCACCAAGGTCATGGGGACACCCCAAAAGCTGGTAATTTCCACTCAAACTGGGGGTCCTCGATAGATGGGGCTGTGGAGATGCTCAGGGGCTCGAGCATCTCTGTGCTGAGGAAAGGCTGAGGGACCTGGGGCTGTTCAGCTGGAGAAGAGCAGACTGAGAGGGGATCCCATCGATGCTGAGCAAGACCTAAAGGGCGAGGGGGCAAGGGGATGGTGCCAGGCTCTTCTCAGGGGTGCCCGGCGACAGGACAAGGGACAACGGGGACAAACTGGGACACAGGAAATGACCGTGAGGGTGGCAGAGCCCTGGCAGAGGCTGCCCAGAGAAGTTGTGGGGTCTCCTTCTCTGGAGAGATTTCAAACCCACCTGGATTTGATCCTGTGGGACCTGCTCTGGGTGACCCTGCTTGGGCAGGGGGTGGGACAGGGTGCTCTCCAGAGTCCCTTCCAGCCCCTGACAGTCTGTCACGGCACACTGGGGGGCCAGACCTTGCTGAGGACACAGACCTGGGTGTGCAGCTGGAGAAATGGGAGCCCCGTGGGTTGGTTACAGCAGCTGGAAAAGGGAAGATGTGACCCCTGGGGGGTCTGAATTTCATTTACCATCAGGATGGTGGGGTTACTGGTGGGGGAGGCAGAGGCTCATGTGAGAGGCTCATGGGTGGTGTGATCAGGAAGTCTCACCCATGACAGGCGGAAGAGGAACAAAATGCTATGCGGCGCCCCCTCAGTCCCTTTTTTTCTGATCCGCTTTCTTGCCCTGGGTTGAGGGACAGTGACGGGGGGCTGCAGGCTCCGGGGGGTCCTTGGCAAGCAGCTGCCTGGCAATGAGGATTTCCACCCCGTGGTCTGGGTGCGGACGGAAAGAAAAATGGCGGCAGGGCTTATAACGGTGCCCTTCTTCCTCCTCTTCATCGCGCAAGGTATGATACTGGGTTCCCCTGGGGCGAGGGTGCTGGGCTGGGGGGAGATGGCTTTGGGGTTGGTGGGGGACCTTGGGGAGGTTGTTGGGGGACCTTGGGGACGTGCCAGTGGGTAAACCCACTCCATCCCCATGCTCTTTCTCGGCTTCTCCCATCCTGGTGTTATCCCGAGGTGTTGACCCACCATCTCCCTTCCAGCGGGAGCCCCCATCATTGTCATGGCCATCACCTTCACCAAACTGGGGCTGAGGGGCTGCTCTGGGTGAGCCTGGAGCAGGGAGGTGGATGGGGGGAGAGGATCCGCAAAAATGAAAGGAAAAGATAAAAAAGACTTCACCAGAGGAAGACGGACTTCACTATCGGGACGTTACCATGCTCGGGGTGAGGCAGCGGAAATCCCATTTGCCTCTTCAACACGCCCCCAAGGCTGAGAGAGCACTAAAGTGTTAGGAATTAGTGAGCAAGTGGGTGATTTGCATTTTCCATGTGTCTGGGAGGAATCAAGGTCCCCAGAGTGGGGATGAGCCCTGGGGAGGGGTGGGCTGTGTCCAGTTGGCCAAGCAGCACTGGTCTCTGCTTAATCATAGAATTGTCCAGGTTGGGAGGGACCTTTCAGATCATCGAGTCCGACCATCAACCCAACCCTGCCCAACCCTGCCCAAACCACGTGGTGTCCCTCAGCATGACGTCTGCCTGGCTTTTAAATCCCTCCAGGGATGGTGACTCCACCACTCCTCTGGGCAGCCTCTTCCAATGTCTGATAATCCCTTGAGTGAAGAATTTTTTCCCAATATCCATCCTACTTGAGTGAAGATTTTTTTCCCAATATCCATCCTAAACCTCCCCTGACACAACTTGAGTCCGTTTCCTCTAGTTCCATCTCCTATTCCTTAGGAGAAGAGACTGATTCCCCCTGGCTACACCCTTCTTTCAGGGAGTTGTAGAGAGCAAAGTAGTCTCCCCTCAGCCTCATTTTCTCTAGGCTGAACACCCCCAGCTCCCTCAGCCGCTCCTCAGAAGTTCTCCAGACCTTTCTCAGTCTCCAGACCCCTCACCAGCTCCGTTGCCCTTCTCTGGACAAGCTCCAGCCCCTCAATGTCTTGTCGTGAGGGGCCCAAAACTGGACACAACACTCAAGGTGGGGTCTCAGCAGTGCCCAGTACAGGGCGATGATCACCGCCCAAGTCCTGCTGGCCACACTGTTCCTGACACAAGCCAGGATGCTCTTGGCCACTTTGGCCACCTGGGCTCACTGCTGGCTCATATCGATGATCACCGCCCAAGTCCTGCTGGCCACACTGTTCCTGACACAAGCCAGGATGCTCTTGGCCACTTTGGCCACCTGGGCTCACTGCTGGCTCATATTCAGCCACCGTTGGCCAACACCCCCAGGTCCTTTCCTACCAGGCAGCTCCAGCCACTCTTTCCCCAGCCTGTAGAGCTGCAGGAGGTTGTTGTGACCCAAGGGCAGGACCCAGCCCTTGGCCTTGTTGATCCTCATCCCATTGGCCTTGGCCCATCCATCCAGCCTGTGAGGATCCCTCTTTGGAGTTACTCCTGTCAAGCAGGTCAACACTCCCACCCAACTTGGTGTCCTCTGCAAACTGATTGAGGGTGCACTCCATCCCCTCGTCCAGATCATTGATAAAGATATTAGAGAGAACTGGCGCCGGTACTGAGACCTGGGGGACACCAACTGGATTTAACTCCATTGACCACCACTCTCTCTGTTTTCTCAGCAGCCTGGGCATCGGAGGTGGTGGGAGCTGTTCATGGGGTGGCGTATCTCAGCCCCAGCAAGGGTGAGGGATACTCCCAGGTCCATTGGCGGCGCGGCAGCAACCTGAAAATCGCCAGCAGGGAGAAGGGGAAGGAGGTCCAGTACCCCAACAGCAACTATAAGGAACGCCTGGAGCTCTTCCCTAACAACACCTTAAAGATCAGCCACCTGCAGAAAAGCGACAGCAGCACGTACCACGTGTACTTGGAGGACTACAATGGCAAGGAGCACGTTGAAAGCATCATCCTGAACGTTTATGGTGAGCTGGGAGGATGGGAGGGTGGTCCCAGCCTCCCGTGAGGGGATGGGGAGGCTCTGACATCCCAACTGTCTCTTGCAGATCTGGTTCCGAAGCCCACTGTGAAAGCCGAAGTGATCAAGCATGACCTGGAATTGTGCGAAGCCATCCTGGAGTGCTCAGTGGACCTGGAAGGTGTGACCTACGAGTGGATCGACACCAGCAAGATCTGGCAGGATGATGAGGATCCCTCCAAGAAGCGTGTCTTCTTCAACCCCTCTGTAAAAACCTACATGTGCCAAGTCAGCAACCCCGTCTCCTCCAACAACGCCTCGCTCATCTACAGGCACCCCTGCTCCTGGACAGGTACTGCCCGTGGTGCACACACGATGTGACAAACTGGGTTGGGGTGGACTGCAAGGGTGGCCTTGGCTTTGGATAGTCCCCAGAGCAGCAGTAGTGACCCTCAGAACAATGGGTCCCTGCACTGGAGGTGGCCCATCGGTCAGGAGTGGTAAGTCCCTTTTCCCCCTGTACGTGGGCTGATGGGTGGCAGAAGCCCACCTGGGGAGGTGGTTGGGGGTCCCCTGCCAGGGCTGGGCAGCCCACAGCCCTCCCCACACCCCGGGTCTCCCTCTGCCTCCAGGTGACTCCTCGGCTGCCGCATCCTGCGTCACCATCAACATACAGGTGGCACTGGGACACCTCCTCCTCCTCCTCTTCCTCCTCACTCTGGCCTGAGGACGGTCTGCGGTTGACATCTCTCCCCATTTCATCGCCGCCCGTGGTGTGACCAACACCTGGATGAGGCCCCCCAGCTGCCTGGATGCAGGAAGATGTGGTTTCTCAAGGGACCCATTACAACCAGTGTCCTTTACACCAGCCCCTTCCTGGTCCATCCTGCTTCCCACCACCCAGGCTCTGCCGCTGCCCTCAGGATGGCTCTGTGCCTCAGTTTCCATCCTCACCTTCTCTGCTTTGGTTTAATCAAAAGTCATGTTTAAGGTCTCTTCTAGCTCTAACCATTTGGTGATTCTATGTTCTCCAGATATCAACAAAACAGGGTTGAAGTTTGCTTTGATGGTCTTTTGAGAGGCCCAGCAATCTAAATTGCTAAATTAACAGTTATCTACTTGGAAATCCTCCTCTCTCTGGCCCTCAGGTCTGCAGGGAGATCAAATCTGAACATTTCCTGGGGCTCCTCGGGGACTTGCAGCGTCCTCAGCCATCACCTGCCATCAGCAACACCCTTTATGGCTCCGAAGACCAGTGTGGGACACTGCATGATGTGTTTAGCTTGAAACCAGTTACACCAGCATGGGTGCAACTGGGTGCTGCTCTGGGTCTGGTGCACCCGAGCATCGCTAACATGGCACCTATGGCTTTCTCTGCAGGGGAGGGTTTGGCAGGGACAGAACGGTCTGTTTGTTTTACATTAAATTCATTCCGAGCTGAAACCTCACATTTTTAGGTGCCTGTTCTGCATTCTTCTCTGGGCTGGGGTCGGCCACAGCGGGTGCTCAGGGGCTTGGGTGGTGATGGAGGGAGCCACGTGTCCCCCCAACACCCTCACTGGGGACAGGAACCTTTACACAGTTGTCCTCCATGGGAGAAACCAGCTCTGGATGGTGGGACACGGGCCATTGGGGTGGGAGGATGTGTCTTGTGAGGAATGGGGATGGTCCCTCAGCCTGCGGGGAGGGATGGGGACATGTCTCAGGGACACCACAGCCCTGGGACACTGCTGCTCCTGCCAGCTCCAGCAAACCATCCTGAGAAAGGGGAGAACTGGGCTCTACCCTCTGTAAAGCCCAAAAAGCACCACTTTCCAGAGCCATTTTTAAGCAAAGACTCCTAAGGCCAGATCCATCAGAGGGTTAACAGGGACCTCACCACCTCATTTGAAAAAAACAATAATGAGTAGGCATCATTCCAGCTCCAGGGGCTAACAAGAAGCTCGGGGTAATTCCTGCTGGGTGGCTGATGGTTTTTTGCACCAATGTGTGTTTTTGCAGAAATCCCCTCACTCGAAAATATTTGCTTGGGTCTTGGTCCATTCCCATGTGGAGGTTTGGTGCTCTTCAGGACGAGCATTGAGCACCACCATCATCATAAAACCTCCTGCCATGATTAAATACGGACCCTGTTGCCCTGTCTCAGTCATCTTTCCATCCAGTAGACATCAGTCTGAGCTGATGGGGAAAGTAAAGGCATTTAGGATCATTATTTTGGGTTAAAGGAGGTTTTTCTGTGACTGCCTGTATGTTTTTTTGTGCCCCCAGGTGCTTCCTGGAAGGATTTTTTCCCGATGGTTTTGCTTGTTGAATAATTTTTCCCACTCATCCTGGCTGGTGGAAGCCCAGCCTGGGTCATGCTGCTGTTGTAGCACCCCATGGGTGATATTTGGGTTCTGTGGCTTTCTGGGACCAGTTTGTGGTCAATGGTCTTCTCCATGCACTGCCTGCACCCACCTGTGGCACGGGGAGGGTTGGGGACCATCCTGCTGCCCTCTCTGGGGCTGGTTTGAGGTGGTGAATCCCATCCATCGGAAACGTCCTTCCTCACCACTGGTTTTTGGGTGAGATTTGTGCTGGGACAAGATGCTGCTCTGCAAAATATCCCAAGGAGATGTCTTCACCCCTCCATCATCTGCCCAAGCGCTTTGTCCTCCAGGAGGAACCACCGTTGTTTCAGCTCAGCCAACGTTCCTTGTGTGTGTGCACCAAGAAAAGGAGCCAAATCCCCTCGTACTGCTCTTACTCATCCTCTCTTTTTTACGCCTCTGATGAATTCTTCCCTTCCATGAACTGCTCATTATTGAGAAACAGCTAATCTGTTGGGTTTTTTTCTCAGCCAGATACTTTCGAAGAAGGAAGGAGAGGCCTAGAAGGATGCCGGGGTAGTTTTCGGTGGTTTTAGGCTTTTTATCATTAGAAATAATTTATTGGAAATGAAATCAATGGAGGTTTTGGAGCTCAGCTCCACTGAAAAGCGGTGGGATGGGAGTTCACCCTTTATTCCCTTGGTTTAGCCCAGCGGAGGAATTCCTGCTTCACCCTGTCGCTTCTGCTTTCCTCTGAAAACCAGAAAAAGCAACGAAAACCTGAAGCAATAGGAAAAAACCACCACTTCTTCCATTTTCAAGATGCGCGGGCCGAGCACCGGAGGAGGTGAATAATTCATGGCACTAAAAACACCAAAACAACGGAGCTGTTCTCACCCTTTTCCAGCAGCGGAACAAGTGAGCGGTGTTTTCCCCGCGTTCCCCATCCCCGCTGAGCGCGGAGGCTGCGGTCCCCACTCCATCCCCACCCAGGGGGACACTCAGAGGAGCCGGGGGACTGTCCCCATCTCTGAGCACGCCGTGGGGATGGCATTGAGCAGGAGAAAATTCAAGCCCAGGTCACTTCCCTGAATTGGGAAGGATTTGGCTTTTCCTGGGTGGGTTTTTAAAGACCGTCCCTGTGGATCCCATACAGCACAAAGCAGGGCTGTGGGTTAATCCCAGAATATTTGGGGTTTTCCATCACCGTGGCTGCAAGCACTGGTGCACACTGGCTCTCTTGGGGGGGCTTTGGGCCAGGTCCCACCCCCCATGGCACTGGGATGGGGCAGCAGAGGGTGGGATGATGCCACATCAGGGGAGTGGCCACCCACTCCACGGTCGGGAGGCTCTGTACAGCCCCAGGAAGCCGTTACTGGAAGCCAAATGATTTTCTCGCTGGTCATTTCCTCTTCTTCTGGGGTCAGGTTAAAGACCCGTGGCGGGATGATGCGGTTCTGGTAGGAGCTCTAAATTGATGCTCTGCTTCCTTCTGCAGGTCTCTTGGGCTGTCTCCGGCGAAGCAGCACGGCTTTGGTGCTTTGAATACTTTCCACTCAAGAAAAAAAAAAAAAAAAAAAAAATAATTCGACCAAAACAGTTAGCTAGTCACTCAAAATGAAATTTAAAAAAAACCACCACAGAAGAACAAGAACACCCCCAACAAAAAACTTTTCCATGCAAAAGGAAGCCATAGCAATATGGGATCTAATCAACTAAAACTTTTAACAGTAATTTAAAAACCAACAATGCAGATATGAAAAAAAAAAAAAAAAAGAGAGTCATTCAGCCAAAAACAGGAAACACATGGCCCACGGCAGCGTCTCTGATTTGAGTACACCTGTTCTTATAATGAGCCCAGCAGCAGATACTAATTGCACTGCAACAGAGGCTCCGTGAACCGAGGGATGGGCTGCAGCGCACGGATCTGGCTGCTGATCTCTCTCGGCTCGGTTTGGGGTACGTAATGCTTCTTTGGGGAGTTTTTCTGGCAAATATTAAGACTTTTCTGTGCTGGGCGGCCGGGCAGATCGAGTATAAACAGTCATATAGAAGATAAATGGCTGGTGACTCTGAGCTGGACGCGTGGCGCATCCCTGATATGCTCCTACTTGTCGGGGCTGGGGGAGGAGAGAATAAAAGTTGATGAATGAACAAAGATGGTGATGGACGAAGTGTAGGTGCAATAGGGAAGCAATCTACCGTCCGTTTTAATGGGGTATTAATAGCACTGAGCAAATAATTTAGTGCCAGATGTGAACTGGGGCACTTGAGATGAAGGTCCTTGGTGATGAGTGTCTGCAACCCCAAGAGCCTGGGATCCAGAGGTGCCAGGGGGCTGGGAGATGCTTCCCAAGCACTGAAATGTGTCCAAGACGAGTGTAAAGGGACTGGCAGTGGGGCAAAGCCTGTTTCCTGGGTGCCTGGAGGATGTCCTGGGGACGATGGTGTCCTGGATGAATTGAACCCACCCCCCCCGACCAGGGAGCAAGGGCCACCTGGACCCCCCGAGTCTCCTGGGTCCTCTCCTCACAGCCCATTGGCAGTTACAGGAAGATGTTGTAAAATGGGGTTTGGTGCCCCTGGGCAGAGCAAAGGGAGCTGTGACTAATCCTGACCCTCCTCTTGGTGCCAGCCTGACGTCCCTACCCCTTCCCTGGGGACACCGTGTGTCCCCGCAGCCCCAGGAGCCCTCTGCCACCGCATCTGTGTAATTATTGGGTGTAAAAAGAAGGGCTCGGCTGGGAAACGGGGGACCTCGGCAGAGCTGGGGTTTCTCTTTGGCTCTGCTGGCTCACTGTTACTCCAATACCTGCCTCTAAAATCCCCCCGGTGGTTTCTGCTGGGCCAGCACAGCGAAAGTCCCACCAGCCTGATGTTTGGGGCTGCTCCAGACCCACAGCTGAACCCGTGGAGGTCGCTTGACTTCCTCCAGCCCCTCCAACTGGGCTTTGGCTGCTTTCAGACCTCTTTCCATGCCTCCTGCTCCATCTGAGTGGTCTTTCCCATAAAGGAGATGCTCCCTGCCAGGGTGGAGGGTTTTTCTAACGTGATGTCAAAAGGGCTTTTCCATCTGGTCATTAATGAGGAGCCCCGAGACCACGGGATGTCAAAAAACACATGTTGCTGAGAAGAAAGTACAGCATCCGCCTGCGTGTTGGGCTTTTTTACAGTAAATGTGTCAGCAAAAAAACGAAGGAGGCAGTGGGGCAGGCGGGTGGCGGGGTGTCTGCAGGGTGACAGCCTTGTCCGCATGGATGCTTCGATGCCGGGGAGATGTGGTCCACAGGGACAGCTCAGGAAATGCTGTGCTTCGTGCCATGGAAGGTGGGAGGGGGGCAAAAATAAGCGATGGCACTCCCTTGGGAGAGCGTTTGCTGTGTGGTTTTTACTGGAACGATATGTGCCCCAAGAGAGGCGGATGCTGGGCTTATCTGGGCCTCCCCAGCCCTGTCCTTCTGGGGCAGCTCCCCCTCTTTTCTTCTTCCTCTCGCCCCGATGGAAAGAAGTTGGTAGGAAACATGGGGGTGAAACGGTGGGGTTCCTTCCACGCTTCTGCTGTTGGTGCCCGGCAGCAGCGATGAGCTGGCACCACGCTATTTCCTACAAAAACAAACTTGTTTGCCCAGGGTGTGGGAAAATATGAATCATTGCCTCGTAGCCAAAGGCAGCAAAGGGTTTGAAGGAGAAGATCCTCCCACATGCTCTCCAGGAACTCCAGGTGGCCAAGATGCTGTGGGACATCTAGGAGATGGTCGTGCCCCTCTTAAGAGCACTTTTCCGTGGCCACCAAAAAACACACCTGGGACCATCTCGACCAGGAGAAGGATTTATACCTGAGCCACCTCCAAGAGGTTGGGCTTTCTGCAGCTTCCACAAGAAAAGTCCCGCCCAAAGGTTTCTGGAGCTGAGGGACCTCGAGGGAGGTGGGTGCCATGGCGTGCACCAACTGCAGGCTTTGGCCAACAGCCACCAAGCATCGCTTCCCTCTGGACTGCTCTGGTGTCACTGGGACTTCTTCAGGCTGGTCCCACCACTGCCAGAACCCTTCTCCCAAGGACCAGCATCTCCACTGGACTGGGACCATGAGCACCTTGCCCTGCTTGAGGCAGCTCAGCTCCACGGGGTGATGATCCACTGCTCTGGCTGGTTGTCGTTGTGCCAAAATTCTATTGGCACAGGAGCCTTAAATCAGGATTTGGCCGTCACACAAGCGGTGCCCGATGCTGGAGGACTCCGAGACTGATGCAAATGAAAACCTTCTCGCCTTACTCTGGGAAGGAGAGAGCAGGGAGGAAGAGCAGAGGAAGACAACGCTTCCCCTCCAGCTCCTGAGCCGAGACCTCAACCCGCATCCTTAGGAATGGATGACATGGGGCTGGGGGTTGCTCCTGTGGTCTTGGGGATGGTGCTATGGGGTGGGCACGAGGCAGAGCTGGCACTGAGTCCCCACGTGCAGCCTGACTCCTCTTCCCACCTGCCCCTGCTCGTTGATGCAGGATGTGGTGGATCACCCAGACTTCAAGCATGCGGTTAGATAATCTCCTCAATTTTCCACCCATTTATCTCACACAACCTGAGCTGTCCCCGATCTGCAGATTACCAGGGTGGGTCCAAACCTGTGGCCGACTACCGCAGCCTCACGGGCATCTGCCCTCCTCCGGCAGAGCTGGGATGGGGGGAATGATGGTTCCTTGGAGCCACCCAATGTCTCACTGCCCTCCTCAGACCTTCTCTCTGCTTTCCTCCCAGGGATGGGCTGCGGAGCGAGGGAGATGGTGTTGGGCACCTTGGGGAAGGCGACGCTATTGCAGATCCCTCTGGAACTCCAGAACCTCACCCTGAGCTTCGGGGAGGCCCTCTGGAAACGGGACACAGAGGACCCACAGAGGAAGCGGGTCCTGCTTAAATACTCGAACGGCAACTACACCAACTACATGGAGAGACGAACTCGCTTCCACATGGTCAACTTCTCCCTGGAGATCCTGAACACCAGCCGGGAGGACAGTCAACTCCACGAGTACATAGTCAACAAGGGGTCGGAGGAGAAAGTCTGGCAGATCCAGCTGCAGGTGTATGGTGAGAACCCTGCATCTTTGGGAGGACCATCCTGGCTGCTCCCAGCCTCTTGGGGTGCTAGGAGAAGGTCTGGGAAGTGGGTGGTGATCGAGGAGGGTGGGAGATGACCATCTTGATGTCAAGGCGCTGTGGTGAGTCCCGAACCTTCTTGCAGCCCTATCTGGGTACCCTCAAGAGCTTTTGGGTTCGTGCAGCCCATGTCTCCCTCTAATGGGTTTGCAGCGGGTCCAGGTCAGACTGGTTCCTCCCCATCTCCCAGGGATTTAGGGGAGCCAGCAGGATTTCCCAGGCAGAAATGTTTGCATCCTCCCCAAGACACAAACTTTTGCCCACTCTTTCCCTCTCTCCAGAACCAGTGTCCAACCCCAGCATCCAGGTCGTCAACCGGGAACTGACCAACAGCAGCTGCACCGTCACCCTCAACTGCACGGCGGAGCGAGGGGACAACATCTCCTACAGCTGGGATGGTGGGGACACCATCGCCTCTGGGCTCTGCTCCCACAACGGCAGCGTCCTCCACCTCTCCTACCCTCTGCAGGACGCCAGCATCTCCTGCTTCTGCACGGCCAGCAACCCCGTCAGCCATCACCTGAAGGTCATCACCTTCAACTCCTCCAAGTGCAGCGACGAGCAAGGGGGTAAGTCCCCAGTTGCCCACCCAGCTACCTCCACCCTCCCAGTCCCACTCTTCTTTTCCAGGGGACCTTTGGCCACTGCTTTAGGCAGCCTTGAAGGAGCCTTTTCCAAGAAAAGAGTCACCCACTCAGGGTTGCCCTGTCTTTCCAGTCACCTCCATCCATGGAGGGTCCCACCCGCGTCCCCGGCCAGTTCGGCCACCGCACTCCAGTGCCCTGGGCTTGTTTTAAATGCGTGAGACTTTTACGCCGGGTGGTTTGGGGAGGAGAAAAGCCTCAGTGATGACTTCCCCTTTGGAGGCTCTCGGGGTAAAAGTCACGCTCTCTGTCACCGGGGGTTTCTAGCACGCCCTCGTGACGTGGGGGACTTTCTCCAGGCTTGGGTGGCATCATGGCTGCCCCTTTCCCCCCGGGACCCGGAGGAGAAGTCACACCCCTCCTGGGGCTCTGGCTGGGACCTGTGCTGAGAAAATATCCCCGCGGGGAAAAATGCTCCTCTTTTTCTTGCTTAAGAAAGGGAAGATGCTGAAATGAGGTGCTCCAGGAGGGGGGGTGTCGGGCTTGTTTCTCACCCCCTTGCCCCAACTTCCCTGCCTTGCACCATGGGACACCCCTGCGTGGTGTCACCATTAGAGGTCCAGGAGCGGAGGCCACCACAGTGAGAGCCCAGCTGGAGCTGCAGAGCTCTGTCCCCAAGCCCTTTTCTCACGCACCTGCAATGCAAGGGCGTTGTACAAAGGGGCTGCCTCCCCACAGGCCTCCGAAAAACCACCACTTCTTCCATTTTATCTTTCCGTTTTATCTGGCCCCCATCTGGCCCTCAGCAAGTTTTTCTCAGTCTGTTGCAGTCTGGAGGAGATTAGAGAGAGCTCAAGAGAAGCATTTCCTGCCCTTTTGTTTCCTGTGCTGTTGACATTATCAGCCCCAAATTGGGCGACGAGATGAAGAAAGATTTTAGCAGCCTGTTCTGCTCAGCTCTGGGTGACCCTGGGTGACCCTGGACCCCGGGGCTGGTGGCTGACCTCCCCCCTCCCCTCTCTGCCCCCCATCCCAGACAGCGCCGGGGTGAAGACGGGGCATCTCGTGCTGATGGTGGTGGTACCTATCATCGCAGTGGTGATGCTCACTGGGGTCTTCGTGGTCACCCACTTGTCCGTTTCCAGCGGTGAGTGCCCTGAGGGAAGGGTGCTGGGGTGGTTGGTGGTCCACGGGTGGGATGAACCTTTGCGGGGGGACAGAAGGTGCCCCCAGCCAGCCCCAGCGAATGGACTAAGGGGTTGATCCCTGTGAGCACCTCGTTTTGGGACTACCCTGGTCCTTGGGAAGGAGCAAAATGTGTCTCTTTTGAAGCACAGGGTAGAAGGCAGGAAGGAAACCAAAAAAAAAAAAAGAAAAGAGCAATGTACCTATACGTGATCTCCAACGCTCTACCCAGATGATGAGCTTCGGAGGTGATACTGCCTGGTGTCAAGAGGAACTGAATGATCCCCACCCAAATCGGAGAGAGCATCCTCTCCCCGAGTGCCTCAGGGGCTCTGCCCCCCCTTCCCTTTTCCTGGGCAGTGACAAATTTGCAAACCCAACCTGTGATGGCCAGAAATCCTCCCACCATGGCTGGGTCCAGCCACTGGTCACCGTGCCGGGGATGGATCCAGCGTGGGCTCATCCTCGCTGTGTCTGGGGGCATCGGGGCAGAATGTGGCTCTAAAAGCACCAGGGTCCCCCCTGGTCCTTGCTCCCCTCATGGGAGACTTTCTTGTCCCCCCACAGCTGTCCAGGAGCAGCAGCAGCCACCACTGGCCGAGGACAACACGGTACACACCATCTACTCCCAGGTGCAGCGGGTGGAGGTGAGCCATGACCAGCACAACCCTTGGGGGGGGTAAAAACGCTCCTTTAATGATGGAAATGCTGCTGCCCAGAGAAGCTGTGGCTGATCCATCCCTGGAGAAGTTCAAGGCCAGGTTGGAGGGGGCTTGGAGCAACCTGGTGTGATGGGAGGTGGCCCTGCCCAGGGCAGGGTGGGAGGGGAATGGGACAATGTTCAAGGTCCTTTCCCACCTGAACCATTCTGTGATCTTCTAAACGCTCCTTTAGAGATGGGACCCTGAGTGCTGCAGCCAGTGGGGAGATTGGGCATGACCCTACTGGGTTTTCTTGGGTGGGGGTCTCGGGTGGTGGCAGCAGCACCCAAAGCTCTGAGACATTGCTGGGTGCCTCCTCTCTGGTCTGTGGCACCCTCTGTGATGGGCTTTGGCCACTGGGTGTCAACCCAGCCCTGTGGCTGGTGAGGGAGAAGGTGAGATTGTGCCTGGGGGGGCACCGGGGTGACCGTGGGCTCCCTGGGGTGACTCACCCCTGCCATTCCAGGAGTCAGTCCTATCGCTGTGCACTGGGAATCACTGGGAATAAGGCTGCTGCACCTTCCCCAGCACCCCAGGGTGGCTTTGGGGACAGACTCTGTGGTTTTCCCCCCACTCCCCGAGTCCTGCTCAGCCCCAAGTGGGGAGGAGATGGGTGAGGGGGTCCATGTAGGGTGGAGGGTGGCGAGCTGCCCTTCCTCATCCTTCCCTCCCCACACAGAAGCAGAAAGGGCTCCCCGTCACCGAGCACCCCTCCTGCACCACCATCTACGCTGCAGCCACCGGCTTGCCCCCGGACACGGCCCCGTCCCCCCGCAGAGCCCCCCGTCATCCTCACAGCCCCCAGACACAGCCCCCCGCCCATCAGGGCCACTTGTCCCTCTCACAGGTAAGGCTGGCTGCCCCCCTCGACCCCCCAGGGGCATCAGCCCAGCTGGGCATCACTGTGGGGCAACCCATGGACTCCCCCCTCCAACTCAAACACCTCACCAACCCCTTTGCCCCCTTCCTCTTTGCCACAGAGCCCCGACAAGGAGCCCACGACGGTTTATGCCAGCGTGATGATGCCCGTGGCCTGAGCATCTCCAGGCAGGGGGGACCCCCTCTGTTTGCTAGGCACCCACATTGACATTCCCAGCTGGAGAAAACCCCACTCATCCCTGGGGAATGGGGGCAAAACCCTCCGGCGTGGGCTGACCCCCACCCACAGCTCAACCGGGGATGCTCCGAAGGCTGCGGAGGCTGCTCCGAAGGCAGGGATGAGGCAAAGCAGGAATCTCCCCGGAGTATGGCTGAGGGCGGCTGGGAAGATGCTGAAGGACCAGGAGAGGATGGAGGGGCTATGGATACGACCCGGCAGAAGGCATGAGCCGAGGGATGGCAGGGATGAGGCAAAGCAGGAATCTCCCCGGAGTATGGCTGAGGGCGGCTGGGAAGATGCTGAAGGACCAGGAGAGGATGGAGGGGCTATGGATACGACCCGGCAGAAGGCATGAGCCAGGGGGGAGAGAATTGGTCTCGGAGGGGAAGGCTCAGCACGTTGGCACCGCGTGGCAGCACAGGGAAGCGTGGCCGGAGGAGTTTTATCCCCCCAAGCTCATCCCTGCCCCATTGGTTTTCACCCCACAACCTCATCCCGTGGCCCCGGCTTCACTAGAGGGAGCCCCGGGCTCGTGACAGCCGGTGACACCGATGGCGACCCCACAACGGGGTAAAATCCGAAAGGGTGGGTTTTTTTAACATCCACCTTCGCCCCAGTAAGGAAAAACCCTGGTTTTGACTGAAGCCGAGTCCTGCCGGGCTCCTTCATTCCTCCAGCGCTGGGAAGGAAGCAGCCGTTTCCCACCGTGCTCTTCCAGCCCCCTCCTTTTGCACTGACGGCTCTGGAGACAACAAAGACCTGCTGGGGGGGTGACAATTTCAAGCTGAATTTCTGGCTGATAGAGGAAAGACAGGACCTGGCTGTGGCCTGGCCACCCTCAGCCCAAAGCAGCTCTCCCCTTCCTTGGAGAAATGGCCGGCGTGGGGATGCTGGAGTGGCCCAGAGGAGGGATCAAGGCTGTAAAAATCTCTTTCTCATTCTGCTCCCCCCCAAATCTGAACTGGTTTATAACCCCGAGAGAACTCACCCCCTGCGGCAGGTCTGATCCCCTCTGCTGCTGACAAGGGAAAGGAAAATAAATTTATAGGAAAGCCTTTTGGAAAGGTTGGCTGGAGAAGGGTGTCGGAGTCTGGATCAGGCTTCGGGGGGGGGGG